ACAATTCAGATATTGACAGATTCAGTGCCACGCCTTCATTACAATGGCATATAATAAGCTGTTGGATTTGTCTGCGCCAAACTCACCAAGTAAAATTTGTATCCTGCTTCTGTACATATGTGTTTGGTTTGAGATCTCAGTCGCATCGACCGCAAACAATGGAGAACCCAGAAATAGCTGAAGATGAAGACTCATTTTAACAGAATTAACAGCGCTTATCTGATCCCATGTGATACATTTAGAGTACCAAACGTGATATATGAAGCCATTTCTGCTCACAGGTCAGGGGAAACGGTTGGCACAAATTCCACGAGTCTCACCTTCTGAGAGTGAGACTTCCTCCTCCTTGTCTCCACAGCTGAGATTCACTCCAGCTCTTCCTTTCATCCCAGTCGAACCGCTCATCCTCCCACAAGTTCTTTTTAGACAAAGAACCAGACCAGAGAGAGGCAGCCAGTAAAGCTCCTCTCCCTTAATTGCCATCAATTTAGTCTTTGTTCTTACTTATCTGTTACACTTCTACAACTCTGAGAAACTTTTTATCCCTTTCACAGCCGCGTCTCTGTTTCTCTCCCATCCCCCCCTGTACAATTACAGAGTGATAAACCACACTTATTAGTTCCTCTATTTGGCCTGAAAGCAAGGCGGTTTCTCATCACTTGAGGACCAGTTAAAAGAGTGTGTGTTGGTGTGTCTGCGTGTGTCTGTGTGTGTGTGTGTGTGTGTGTGTGTGATGAAATGGAATAGGACGCGTCAACAGCAGGTATTGTGCTGCCACCTAATCTCACGCATGATTAGGAGAGCAATAACACGACTGTCTGAGCAGGTTACAAAAAGTGTGAGCTCCCCTCTGAGTGTCTGTGTGTGTATGCTGTGGTGAGAAAATGTTTATTGAACTACTAAGTGTCACATTACACCCAGAGTCTCTTTTTCCACCTGTGCTCCCTCGGTCTTAAGTGCCTCCTTTTTTCTTTTCTTTTTTTTTTACACCTGCTGCATTGCGAGCCTCGGGCCTCTCGACCCCTTTTACCTTCATCCAACCTTCCTTTCACTGATATATTTTCCTTTTTTAACTCACCCGTCCCCTGGGGTCTTTCTTCAATTCCTTTGTCTGCTGTAAAAAAGCTTGATTGACCACTAGTTGAATCAGTAAACAAACAACACACACACATGAACACGCTCACTTGACAGATGCTAATGGTCTCCCCTCAGCCTGCTTTTACCTTAAATTGCAGCTCCCCTCCACCCTTCCTCCCCCACTGCCTTTCTATCCCACCACTCATCCCTCACTCTGACTGAATGACATTCTTTTATTCACTTCCTGACTCTGCCCAGTATTCGACGTCCCCATTGCGCTCCTTTTGACTGGAAAAGCTGTGCTGTGCTTGATGAAAAGGGGGGAGAAAAATTGAGGGAGCAGCAAGCTTTTATAGCGAGCTCAAGCATCCACGAGGTGTGTGTGTGTGTGTGTGTGTGTGTGTGTAAAGGAAGAGGGGAGGGACGGTTTAAAAGCAAGATAACAACTCATCTGACATTGTGGAGTGTAGCGCCCTCCTGTGGTGGCTGTCTACTTTAGAATATAAACAAACTAAGGATTATTTTTAAAACCTGAAGGACGCTTTAAGAAATTGAATGGACGTTTTTTTATTTATTTCCCCTCCAGTACATGCAGGGGGATGTAGATGTCATCTCAAAGAAATTTAAGTATTTTAAATCTGAACGACACAACAGCATTATTTGATATGATATACAGTATATAATAATACATAAAGTATAATGACGCTGTCATGTGTAGTGTAGTGTGCACTGAACTTCACTCACATTTGCGACAGGTGAGTAACTATACACACTGCACATTTTGTGCCCCGAGGTCAAAGTGGGTAGGTTAGTGAATCATGACAGCTGTAAAACACACATGGTATTATTATGTTCACATACTGTACATATATACGGGTACTTATACAACACTGACCTTAATTCTTAAATGCTGGTGACCTTTGTTTACACATCATCCCACATCTCTCTCTCTCTCCTCTCATTTCCTGTCATCGCTCCGCTGTCGCTGTCCGTTAAAGGACAAGTTCACATCCTTTCCAGTCTGAAACAAAACAATACCGACAGGCCCATGTGTGCATTAAAATCAATTCTGGTTGCTGTTATCATTCCTGCTGTCCATACCGGCTATAAAGAGATTACTTCCGAAAGCAAATAAAATGTAAGTGATGTGGGACAAAACCCACAGTTTTCCACAGGCAGTGTTTCCTTGCTGAGCTGCAGCAGATTTTGTGCTAAAAATAATGTAATTCTGGAGAATACCCACAACATTGTATCACTGCTGAAACATCACATTAGCTTCGGGTGAACTTTCAAAGATATTTTCACACAAAACAAGGCCTGTCGATTTTGTCCCCCATCATTTACACTGAAATCGCTTTGCAGTCGGTATGGACGGAAGTATTACAGCAAAAGCAAAAACCAGAAGAAGTATTCAGAACTTTTACTTCAGTAAAAGTAGCAATAATACAGTGCAGACATACGCTGTAAGAAGTAAAAGTAAGAGTATTCATAACGCAGAATGTCCAATTTCAAGTATAGAGTAGCATGAAATGGTAATACCCAAGTTAAGTACAAGTATCTAAAAATTGTACTTGAACAATACTTACTTGTGTTTAACCACTGCCAAAAACTATTTCAATGTACATATGGGCTTGTCCATCACTCCCAACTTGTCTCATACTGACGCTTGGTGAGTGGCCCTAATCCTCCAAATATGATGCTCTAGTGTCCTTTCAAAATAAACTTCCCTCTTCACAAGAAGTTAGGTTTAGGCAACAAAGGAAAAGAGCGTGGTTGACGTTAACTTGACTGACCAACGTGACTAAAAACCAGTCAGCCTCATTTATACTGCATCAGTTGCTCTGAGCGTCTAATAGTGACGCGGGTGGGTTTTACATTGGAGATATTTGAAAGCGCAGTGCGTTAGTATCAGACGCTGAGAGCCACTGACCAACAGGATTGGAGGACTTGAGAGTGAGACCGGGTCGGCCGGTCAGTGTTGTTTTAAGACAGAATTCAAACCTTGTTAACTTTAAGTTGCAATTTCCTGAGATGGATAGAGGATACGTGGAGTGGAGAGAGAGTGTCATGACTCACTGGCCATATGAACATTACGCTGAACAGAAACGATGAGCTCATCCAGGTTATAGCCCCACCGCTTGAAATGACATTTCTGCTCACGCGAGTAACAGACGATAAAACCACAAGCTGGAGAAAGTTGACTGAATATGTTTGCAGTTTTGTCAGCAACATAGTACAGATTCTGCCACAGAGTGTGTGGGTTGGAAAAACCACAACAGCAGTAAATCCAAAATGACACCTTAAAGGTCAGTGAAAAATAAAGGCATCCCATGGATCAATGAGATTCAAGAGCCCTCTGTTAAAGTTCAACACACACACATTCTCCCTCCCACTCTCACTTCCACTCATCAACCATATTTAATTAAATCGGTTTAATTTGCCTTGTCATTTATCACTTATGTAATCACCATCTTTTGCTCTGCTGTAATCTATTTCATGCCACTCATAACTTTGTCATTCGGATGGTTGTCTGTCTTTTTTTCTCTTTTGTTCCTTTCAAAGTGAGATGCTTTTATGGGATGATTTTGATGTCAGTTGCAGATTTTGTAATCATAGTCTCCTCTGCTTGTTGTCATCTTAAAAACAGTGCAATGATGATAATAATCTGGAGAGAGTGCACAGCCATAAAACTAATAATTATTAATAATAATAACAGTAATAGAAAATACAGAGTGCAGCTCGTTGCAAGCACAGACAACTATATTTGACACGCAGTAAGATAATATAGATTTATGTTGTGTGTTTAAATGCCTTAAATCTTAAGGCTAGAAAAGACTTGGTATGGCATGTTTCTAAAATACTGTCAAAAAATGCATAATTTTACAAAATCACACCCCTGGAGAAAACATTAGAAGCCTTTTCCTGCTTCCTTTCATTAAAGAAGTGAACATCTCCTCCTGTCCGTACTCTTTGAAATGTCATCTTTGCATGTCACCGGGAAGACATGTGTCTTATGATAAATACTTTTTTTATGTTCATCTTGGCATATAAACTGCATATAATAATCACGGGAACTGCTCTGCGTCTTTCTCGGTGGCAGCTGTATCACCAGCCTGACTTCAGAGACATCCCCTTAAATCACACCAGGAACTTAAACTTGTAAGAGATCCAACCACGATCCATAAGAGCTGCAAATCCTGCTCACCTGCAAGACAGCTTTTGCGGATACCTTCTTGGTACATTATAGACTTTGTCCAGCATTGTTTACTTGTCTTCGTCTTCATTTTCACCAGATTACTTCGTGAACAAAAATTAAAATTTGAAGTTAATCTCCATGTCCATAGACTTAAAGCATGACATAATACAGGAAGATGTATAAGAGAGGTCGAGAGAGGCAGTATAGGTAGGTAGTAGTAAATTTACTCAAGTGCTATACTTTTTTGACGTACTTGTACTTCACTTGAGTATTTCTATTCTGTGCTACTTTATACTTCTACTCCATTTCAGAGGGAAATATACATTTATTTGAAAAGAAAATACACAAACAAAGGTACATACACAAATATATAGAAAATATAGGTGGAAAAAAATTGTTTTTCTGTTGTTTTGAGCTCTTATTGGAGAAGCATTTTTTTCTGTGAGCTTGGTTAAATGAGTTTTAGGTTTATATACATTTCAAGTAACTAGTAACAATTCAACCAATATATCAAGAATAAAAGGAAGAGAATAATTAAAGCTGCTGCAGTAATACACACCTCAAATCAGTTTAATTTGCTCTCTCATACCTCTAATGTAACCTAATATATTTAACACAAGGGATGCCATTTAAAAATGTTAAATCTAAAATATAGCTCAAATAAAACACCAAACGTAAAGCTCGTGCAAAGCTCGTGTTCAGCGGCCCCGGAAGTGTTTGAGAAACGGTTAAAAGCCAGTTGACGTAGGCTAGCTAGCGTTAGCTGTCAGTAACAGTCATTGTGCAGGGATGGAGGTGACACGCCAAAGTAAGTAGCCCAGCACGTTGTGCCCACTTGATGTTTTTGTGTGCCGCGCTACATGCGTCGTTTTAACACACAACAGTAGCAGTGACCTGGTATCTATTTAAAACGGACAAGACCATTTCAGTCCTCAGCGGTTTGTTTCTGCTAGCTAGCTGAGCTAAGCTAAGCTGCGGTGGTGTATGTGCTAGCACGCTTCTCTCGTCACGCTAACGTAGCTACTGATGTTGATACACTTTCTCTTTTTATTACAGATTTTAAAGACAGTTTAAACGCTGTTTACAGCGCGATAGAGGAGGCGGACTTCCTTGCCATCGATGGAGAATTTTCAGGTAACGATAGATCCTTTTTTTTATATAAATAGTCTACGTTGTGTAGATAAATTGTGACATGTGGTGTTGTTGTTTTTAGGGATAAGCGACGGTCCTAATGTCAGTGCACTCACCAACGGGCTGGACACTCCGGAGGAGCGATACACGAAGCTTAAGAAGGTAAGCAGAGTTGATAGGTTTATGGTACTTAACATTTTTTTGTGTTTTTAATGCATCCTGATTTCCCTCCATATTCTGGTTTACTGCTTATCTCATTTAAAATCTCTGTCTGTCTCTCTGTTCACCAGCACTCTATGGACTTCCTGCTGTTCCAGTTTGGAATATGCACATTCAAGTATGACCAGACAAAGTCAAAGTGAGTGATGTCTGCTTCACAAGTACAGAACTACAGATCTGAGATATATACAGGTGCTGGTCATATAATTAGAATATCATCAAAAAGTTGATTTATTTCACTAATTCTATTCAAAAAGTGAAGCTTGTCTATTATATTCATTCATTACACACAGACTGATATATTTCAAATGTTTATTTCTTTTAATTTTGATGACTATAACTGACAACTAAGGAAAATCCCAAATTCAGTATCTCAGAAAATTAGAATATTACTTAAGACCAATACAAAGAAAGGATTTTTAGAAATCTTAGCCAACTGAAAAGTATGAACATGAAAAGTATGAGCATGTACAGCACTCAATACTTAGTTGGGGCTCCTTTTGCCTGAATTACTGCAGCAATGCGGCATGGCATGGAGTCGATCAGTCTGTGGCACTGCTTAGGTGTTATGAGAGCCCAGGTTGCTCTGATAGTGGCCTTCAGCTCTTCTGCATTGTTGGGTCTGGCATTTTGCATCATCCTCTTCACAATACCCCATAGATTTTCTATGGTGTTAAGGTCAGGCGAGTTTGCTGGCCAATTAAGAACAGGGATACCATGGTCCTTAAACCAGGTACTGGTTGCTTTGGCACTGTGTGCAGGTGCCAAGTCCTGTTGGAAAATGAAATCTGCATCTCCATAAAGTTGGTCAGCAGCATGAAGTGCTCTAAAATTTCCTGGTATACGGCTGCGTTGACCTTGGACCTCAGAAAACACAGTGGACCAACACCAGCAGATGACATGGCACCCCAAACCATCACTGACTGTGGAAACTTTACATTGGACCTCAAGCAACGTGGATTGTGTGTCTCTCCTCTCTTCCTCCAGACTCTGGGACCCTGATTTCCAAAGGAAATGCAAAATTTACTTTCATCAGAGAACATAACTTTCGACCACTCAGCAGCACTCTTTCTGAAACTCCCCCACATTTTTGAATCGGTTTTGTTTCACAATCCTCTCCAGGGTGCGGTTATCGCTATTGCTTGTACACTTTTTTTCTACCACATCTTTTCCTTCCCTTCGCCTCTATTAATGTGCTTGGACACAGAGCTCTGTGAACAGCCAGCCTCTTTTGCAATGACCTTTTGTGTCTTGCCCTCCTTGTGCAAGGTGTCAATGGTCGTCTTTTGGACAACTGTCAAGTCAGCAGTCTTCCCCATGATTGTGTAGCCTACAGAACTAGACAGAGACCATTTAAAGGCCTTTGCAGGTGTTTAGAGTTAATTAGCTGATTAGAGTGTGGCACCAGGTCTCTTCAATATTGAACCTTTTCACAATATTCTAATTTTCTGAGATACTGAATTTGGGATTTTCCTTAGTTGTCAGTTATAATCATCAAAATTAAAAGAAATAAACATTTGAAATATATCAGTCTGTGTGTAATGAATGAATATAATAGACAAGTTTCACTTTTTGAATGGAATTAGTGAAATAAATCAACTTTTTGATGATATTCTAATTATATGACCAGCACCTGTATGTATATAAACTATATCACATTTACAGACCAAATTGGTTGATTGTCAGGTACAGGGGAAAAGACATAGTCCTTTTTGGGAGACAGATTTTTATTTTTTCATGACAAAATATCAGACAACTAGAGGATAATAGTATGGTAGTAATCCGTCTTTTGAATGACTCACACACAGGTTATTTTTTTTAAATGACCTCCCAGCTGCTGGAATAATTTCACTAATCCTCATTGTCCTGTGTTCCCATCTCTGCAGGTATATCACAAAGCCTTTTAATTTTTATGTATTCCCGAAACCGTTCAACAGGACGTCCCCCGACTTAAAGTTCATCTGTCAAGTAAGTCGGTGATGCTCCTGGGAGCGTTTCCTCAGTGTGAACGGAGATGAATGCGTTTTACTAGTGATAGTGACGTGGATAGGTTAAAAATGATTGTTCCTGTAAAACGATGACACTTCTGTCTGGTTTTTTTTGATGGAAACGGAAGATTACCTTTTGTCATTTCAGAGTTCCAGTATTGACTTCCTGGCCAGTCAGGGATTTGACTTCAACAAGGTGTTCCGTCATGGTGAGTACACCGCAGAGCGACATGAAATATCCCTCTTTGTCTCCTGAAACCGAGATGACTTTTACAGTCTGTGTTTACTTTAAACGCTTGCCGTGTCTGCTGTAGGGAGCAGTAATCTTTGCAGTTCTCATTCACTAGACGGATGTAAAATTGTGACTCATCTGGTATTCAAAGGAATCCCGTACTTGAACCAAGATGAGGAAGTCCAGCTGAGGGAGCAGACTGAGGAGAGGAGAAATCAACATGCTAACGGTGTAGGGACCCCGTCCTTCATCTCCCCATCCTCCAAAGGCCCCGCACACGTACCCGAGGAACACAAAGACTACATCAACAGGGTGATGTAAGTGTTGCAACACAAATGGAGGTTTTGGGCTGTGGGTACTGACAGTGTTGTGTATGAGCCTTTAGACATAAGTTGTGCATATTTGGTTCTTTCCCACTTCATGTGAGCCAGCTGTGGTTCCCTTTCCTTTGGGGTATGTTGGGCATGGCCAACTGGAAGGAGACCCCATCAGAACTGTACCTCCTCAGTTGACTCTGGAATAATGTCATGTCTACTGTTTTTCCCCTCAGAGGGAAGGTTGAGACCCTCTTCACTAACTCAGAGAAGACTTTGGACTTGGAGCCATGTACTGGGTAATGTTCACTCAATTTGTATTCATCTTTTGATAATGTTTGATACCATTCTTTCCTTACTGTCAGTGTGTTAAATAAGGAATATTTATAATACTAGTATCGGAAAAATGCTTTTATTTATTCATTTTTTAACTCTGCTTATATTTCCTAACCAGGTTCCAGCGAAAGCTGATTTACCAGACTCTGAACTGGAAGTGAGTCACTCAACACGTTTGCTATTAGTGTTTTTTTTATGTTGGATATAAGAAGAGTAAGATTTGTCTTTGTTTTTCACAGGTTTCCCAAGGGGCTTCATGTGGAAACTGTGGAAACAGAAAAGGTAAGAACATGTTGTATTTCAACCTATTTTTCCCTCTGGTTTTGAGTGGAATATGTGAAATATTCTTGTGTGTGTGTGCAGAAGGAGCGTTACATCCAGGTCATCAGAGTAGATGATGAGGAGAGGAAGTTGAGGGAACAGCAGAAACGGGAGAGGGAGCAGGTGAGTTTTTAAAGATGGACATTAAATTAAAGTGTTGGTGTGTATTCGGTGAAGGAATACATAAATTTCTTATTTTGAAAAACTATATAATTTTTAATCTTATCGAAAACATTTTTCCCACACTTCTCTCCCCCCCCAACAGGAGGAGGTAAATGATGCTGTCGGCTTCTCCAGGGTCATCCACGCCATCTCTAAATCTGTGAGTCAAACTCAACATTACATCCTTCTGTTGCTAATTCAACTTTGTGTTTTTTTTTATATTTTGTCTTTGGAAAGTCTGACTTGTACCCTTAACCTCTTTAATCTGACATGCAGGGTAAACTTGTGGTTGGCCACAACATGCTGCTGGATGTGATGCACACCATCCACCAGTTCTACTGCCCTCTGCCAGAGGTACAAACTTTAAGATGCATACTTCATATATGGTGTTTTTGCTTTAGTGTAATTTGTGACTCATTTGTGCCCCTGCTCTTATCTTCAGGATCTTCAAGACTTTAAAGAGGTCACCATGTGTGTCTTCCCACGGTAATGTTCCTCTGCTTTCCTCGGTGTGTTTACTCGTTTCCACGGAGGATTTTCTGTACTTCTTGTTGTTCATTATTGGCTTTTACTTGCAGACTTCTGGACACAAAGTTGATGGCTTCCACTCAGCCTTTTAAGGTAAATTATCTGCTTCAGTGCTGTAGAATATCAGGGGCAGTATTTGTTGTTGCTGATTGAGATATTTTAGAAAGGTAATAAAAAAAACCTTTTCAAAGTTAACTGATTGGATATTATTTAATTGTAGTTAAAATGTCTTTGCTCGGGTTAAATCACTGGTCAAAGCACCAACAAACTACAAGGTGCTCCAAAACTGTATTCAAGACTTGTGTCTCTCGATGTTTTTGTAAAAATATCTCAAAGGAGACGTTTCCTTTGTGTCTCAGGAGATGATCACGAACACGTCTCTGGCAGAGTTGGAGAAACAGGTGAAGGAGAGCCCCTTCAAGTCGCCACAAGTCGGTAAGTAAATACACGTGACGTTTGTCTGAGCCGCTCTCAAACGGCCAAAATTCTGCAACATCTATTTTTTATTTTTACGCTCTGTACCGTCTACTCTCAGAAACGGCAGAGGGGTTCAACAGTTATGACACGGCCCAGGAACAGCTGCACGAGGCCGGGTATGATGCCTACATCACCGGCCTCTGTTTCATCTCCATGGCCAACTATCTGGGTAACGCACACAATCACACTGATCCTCTTTGTAAATCAAATAAAAGTCAAACTATGTTTATTTAAACTTGTGTCTGCTTCACACTCTTATTTGCAGGCTCTTTCCTGACTCCACCCAAAGCGCACATCTCTTCCTCCTCCAAACTAGTAGAGCCGTTCTTCAACAAGTATGAGATGCACTTGAATTTGCAGCCAACTTTCATAAACTGCAAAAATATCTGTAGACAAAATGCATATAATGCGTCAATTTTTTGCTTGTTCTCAAGGCTTTTCCTGATGAGGATAATAGATATTCCCTACCTCAACATCACAGGACCAGATTGTGAGTATAATGCTGCACAGCCGAGCTTTATGCCAGGATTGTTGGATTAGACTACATGCCTGGAAACTTTGCCAATTTGAAAGGTACCCTGTGGAGAACATAGAATAGTAGCAACTGTTGCTGTTTTCCCCCTCTGTTCCCACAGTGCAACCTAAAAGAGACCACGTCCTGTATGTCACCTTCCCCAAAGAATGGAAGACGAGTGACCTCTACCAGCTCTTCAGTGCCTTTGGTAAGATGTGATGTTGGCAGGACAATTGTGCTTCCTAACGGGTATGACCCATTGTTCATCACTCACGTTGCACTTCTGTTATCCACTCAGGAAACATCCAGGTTTCCTGGCTAGACGACACGTCGGCGTTTGTGTCCCTGAGTCAGACGGACCAGGTGCAGATAGGTGAGTTTCACACCCCACTTTAATACACACACACCAGACTGGACAAAAAAAAAATGACACCGCAATCTGTCAATGTCTCCGTCTAATCCCGCAGCTATGAACACCAGCCGCTATGCAGAGAGTTACAGGATCCAGACGTATGCAGAGTACATCAAGGGCAAGCAGCAGCTGCAGGACAAGGAGAAAGTCGGCCACACGCCCAAATCTTGGGGGGAGGACGACGGCTGGATGAAACCTCACTACACCTCGGCTACCTTTGGATATCCCAAGTACACCTGCGCTGCATTTTCAACATAACAATCGGTGTAATTACCGCTCTCCTGGGAGGATCTGCAGGTATGCATAGTTTGCATCTGTATTGATGCATCCATTACTTTTTTTTGGGGGGGGGGTTGTTTTCTCTAGGGGTCTGAGGAAACGCTGCATCAGTCCCGTTCAGGGGGAGCAGGGGGCCGTAGATGCTCCGATCACAGACGGCTGGAGTCACTACTCGTACCCAGATAGCACCGGCAGCAAGAAGATGAAAACTGATGGTGTGTGAACGCATTCATGCAGAAGTGCTTTTAAGGTTCTAGTATTTAATGTCTTTGTTTAATGTCTCACTAAGTAAAAGTGCACGTGGTGTATAAAGAGGTCTAATTGAGGCTCTCGTGCACTCTTTGTGTTTCTTAGACAAAGGTGGACAGGCAAATGCAGAGGCTATCGAGAGCAAGACCTCAGAAGGATGGCTAAAGACGGCGTAAGTGAAACGGCGGCGCTGTCGATGTAGTTCTGTTCGCTGTGATTCAAGGCTCATAACGGTTGCTGTGCCCTGCAGAGATGCATCAGACTCGATGGGGTCCAGTCCCGCCCCTGATGAGGAGGGAAGTCCTGAAGGCAACGATGCCGAGGGGACGGTCACCTGGCAACAAGCCCCTGCAGTCCGCGGGAGAAAAGGTCAAAAGAAACAGAAAAAGAAGCGCAAAGGTGTGTTTGAACTGTTTATATAACGTGTTAAGCAAAACCTGTAGACAAAGGGAACCAAAGTTTAAATGTACCATTGTTAAGTTTAGGATAACTTGAAGTTGTGGTCCTTGTCCTCGTCTCTTCATGTCGGTCCTCTCCTCTTGAACAGGGGCTGAATCTACTCCGTCGCTGTTTGAGGTGCCAGAAGTGTGGTAGCGAACGGTGAGGCGTGGAGAGGCCGCTGTCCCACAATGAGCTCCTGCTCAAGAGTCTCTTCCTCTGCACTTGGGGCGCTCTCTCTCTCTCTCTCTCTCTCTCTCCTGCAAGGTTGTAAATCACTGGGAGTGACACGCCCTAAATGAATTAGTTCACCCTGCAGCTGTGGATACCGTGTCCAAAGCTACCAGCCAAGACTGGACTCTTGACAGAGAACACAAGCCATAACAGCTGCCATATTTTGATCTTGTATCAGAGGAGCAGGAAACTCTTCTGGGTAAATGCGCGCACATACACACTCTTCACTGGAATCTTAAAATCGAATCTCCAGAAATGTTCATTTATTCTCTGTGTTCAGACTGGATTCTGCCACCACACTTTGAAATCATTTATTATTTTTAATGGCACGGTCTCCTCCAATCAGTCTTATATTTTGTGAGAGTTTGTGCATGTGGGGGAGATGTATGTTCTCTCTTTGTATCCCCGTGACTCCGTTTCATAAACCGTGAGATAAAATGCTGCCCGACACGTCCTGTAGTTCAATGTCTGGGTTATTTAGGATTTTAATGGAGTCTAACATTATTTTTTTCCCATTTTAAAATAAGTTCTGTCAACTTAGACCAGTTTTATCCAACATATATAAGCTTATCAATGACGATGTGATGTTTATAATTGGTGGCGTTTTGATCCTTCATGAGAAGTTCTTTCTGTACAGTTGAGTTTCTTTACCTTTTTTGTGTTAACTGTTTTGTAACCGTGTCAACCTGCAACAATGTCAACGTTTGTTCTAATGCAAAAGGTGTAAAGTTTAAAAAGTACTTAAAATATTTCCTTGAAAAGGGAACAAAAATTAAAGACTGTTTCTTAGTATCTCTGTTTTCTGTCTTCACTCTCGATGCATTTGAATAGAGGCGTTCGCCACGCTTTATATTGTTTATACTCGCAAGATCAACTTTTACTGCTTTTGCATTGACATGCACTTAACAGGTAAAACCATAATCTAATGGAGCTCATAACATGTCGTCCACTGTTTGACAAAATGAGCTGAAGACTTAAATCGGCACATTTTCAATGCTTTAGTTTTACTCGGGTGAAATATTTAAGCTCTAATATAATAACTACATAAACGGTTAATAAACCTTACATGTTCTTAGTCATTTAAGTGTATTACGTCTTAACTTTAGTCTTTGTACAGTCTTCCACTCAAGTAGTTTTGACAGCACAGGTAAAGAGCTACACTGGTGATGGCTGAATTCCATTTAGCTGCTTCAATTTCAGGGTCCTGGTGTTGTGCTTGTGGCCTCACTTGAATGATGGCGTCGTTAGTCTTATTAGTAACACCTGTGCTTCTATACTTCTAACTCTCGACATGAATCATGGTTACTGAAAGTCAAATGAAAGGAGTTTGACATCAAACAAATTTTGTTGAAGTATCAAAATGAATAGATTCTGTATGGTAGATGCTGCTCATTAATCAATATTCTTTTACTTCAATGAATATAAACATTCCTCCAACAGTGTTTGATACAGTCATAAATCTTCCATCTTTAACTTCTTCCAGGAGAACAAACCGTATCTCCACCCCAGCATGTGTTATGAGCCAAGTCCGACTTTCATGATCGCACTTAATGGGAAACTGTTTGTGTGTCTCTTAATGGGAAACTAAGTGTCAAACTCATTGGGTACCAAAGGCAGATTTGACTCTCTAGCTTTCAGTATTTTTTTTAGGCCACCAAAAATATTTTACAAGTACTGTATTTGACTTAAACTTTGCTTTATATACATTTTACCTAATAAAAACAGACATACAGCGCTCATCTTTCACTAAAACAAGTCTGGAAGTGGACTGCAGGATATGTTGAGTGCAGGTCATTCTCCTCGCTTGACCTCCATCAGGCACAAACCAGGACAGCCATGAGCACTAGGGAAGAGAAGGTTTTAGAAATAATGAAATCTGGGTGCAGATTTTCCTCAGACAGAGTCCTCACCTGGTGTCTCCGAGCAGCACGACCACGGACAAGGTGCCTTCTGGGAGAGAGCTGAAGAGCTTCCTCAGGCGGTGGTCCAACTTCCCCATCAGGAGATCCATTTCCTGGTCCTACACAGATTACATAAAAGGAGTCTTCATTGCATGCGTTCAATAAATCATTAACTGTACAAGTCTTAAGATCAAATCAGAAATGTACTAATTACTCTCCCTCATATGCACTTTGTAGGGATTTTGCTTTGTGCTTCGATTTCAATCATTAACACTTAGCAGGATATTCTTTCATCGAGGAATAAATAAATATTAAAAGCTCAAGTTTTCTATCAGGTTTTTATGGAAGCCGAGAACTGCCGTGCTTGCAATACACTTTTATCTCAAGATCACAAGTTAATTATCTCGAGAGAAAGCGAGCTTTATCGGCAGATAATCAACACGTTATCACTAGAAAACAAAAAGGTCGTTTCTGCCCATTACTTGTTACGTTTATCAGAGATCAGCAGTGCCATGCCAGCATGCATAGATGTACGGAGAGCAGAATGTGACTTTAAATGCCTCTATATTCACGCAATTCATGTTAAAATCACCAAAAAAAAAAAAAAAAAAAGCACAGCTGTTTAAAAGCAGTTATTATAATAATGAGCTCTTTCATTGGTTTTGCACAGCCAGTAAGTCCAAAGGTCAAGAGTAAAGCCAGACCAAAGTGTCTGCCACTGTTAGGATGTCATCTTCTGACAATCTTCAGAGAATTAAATCAGAATTTGCCCGATAATATAATCACCTTGACCTGCCTTCATTGTGTTTTAAAATTACCTCTTTCAATCATTCCAGTGTAAATATAACTTAAGAGGTGGGTTATATAATTGTCTTTATTCAAAATAGAAGCGTTTAATGGCACTTTCAGCTTCTCATTTAGATGGCGTCTTGACAACTGGAGCAGCTGACTTAAGATGAAACTAACAGATCAGGAAGTACCCATTATTGATAAACGCATCAGACTTCACTCAAGGTCTAAGACATCAGCCCTCGTCATTTCATTTTTATTTAATTTAGTTTATTCTGGATTAGCAAACACGGGTTAATCCTGGTCAGCCTGAGGCGGAGCCGTCTTTGTTATGCATCGTTATCACGAGATAACAAAATAATCAACTTGTGATCTCAAGATAACGGCCTTAAAAAAGAAATGGTCGCAAGCAGGGCCGTTCTCGGCTTCCGTAGTTTTTAAGTCTCGAAAACATCTACTCCTGAACGGCACAAAACTCCGTGGACTGTGACGCTAAAGCGTTTCCCAAAACAGCTGTCGTCTTGGGCTGTCAACCATGTAGGAATAAGCATACAGGACTATAGCTACACTAGTACCACCAGTGTGATGGATGAAACCATTCTTCTACATACACTTTCTTCTAACGGGGCAAAACAGAATAAAAAAAATCTAACTTTGGCACCAGAGAAAACGCCCATCCAATCTGTACTTTGTCACTGGAGTGTGTTTGCATGCTGACAGACATTTTGTGTCTGTGTGACAACCAGCTGGATGTCGATGCACCCTTTGTCTTCACCTGAGAACTGGTGTGCCCGTGGGTCCTCTCCTCGCCTTCCGCCGCTTCGCTGCCAGTATGCACCACGCTGACCCACGAGGGTAAGTGCGGCGGAGTCAGGGAAGGACAGACGAGGTAGTTTTCCTTCCGGAGATCCTCAGAGGAGCTGAGGGCCACGTGTTTATCCGCTGAGCTCTCAAACTCTGTCAACCGGAGACACCCGTGTTAGAGACGCACGGACACATTGTTTGAACGGTACGACAAGTAGAGTACTTTTTACTCACTTATGTATGCATGACTTGCACGGTTTCCACGTTTGGCAGGCAGGACGACTCTCTCCACCAAACCAAAGTGACCGAATGTCTCTCTGATCGTCTCCTCGGACAGTTGAGACTCTCTGGTGCCGTTTACTTTCGCTGAGGACAACCTGTTCGCCGCTCTAACAGAAGTGACACCCGGACATTCTGCATCTGACGCGTGTCCATTGACCCGTGCAGAAATGCGTAGGTCTTCAGCCATGCTGGGGTTCAACTGAACGGCGTAGAGGTGACTGGTGTTGAGACTGTCACACATCAAAGCATCAAGAGTCAGATCCAGGTCCAGCATCGACTCGTAAACAGGCCTCTGGACCTAGAAAAGGCACACGCAAGCAAACAGTTCTCCAAACGTTTCTGGAGTAACTTCCACTGTAAAGTAAAAGGAATAAGTGATAGAACACATAAGGAAAAAGGGGGAAGAGAGTTACCTTGATGGACTGTCCCTGCATATTAAGTCCATTCAACGCTTTTAGAGCCAGCACAGGTCCCTCCAGCAGCTCAAACTCTACCTCTGCATGAACCTGGAGACCAAACATAGTCAGAAAACACAGGTACGATTAATAAATGACAACCAAAAACAGCTTTTACAGCTCTAGTTTAAGAGGAACTGAAGCGGCCATTTTCACCGCATCCTCAGAGGAATTCAGTTGCACATCAGCGACAGAAACACCGTCAATTAAATGTAAATCGTAAATGTAGGCGAGATGTACCCTGACAGTTGTGGTCAACATTTTGATACTTCGAACTGGTCCACAGCAGCGAAACAGCCGCCTCACTTCCCTCTCGGAGAAATCAGCGGGGAACGGCCCGGCGAACACGACGCACATATCCCGAAGGTTCGCACGCGCCTGCAGGACGGACGCACGTGTTAAGCAGCACATTAAAACAACACTTTAAAAACGCATCATGGTGTGAATAGATGCCCTCACCCTCTGGTGCTTCTGCTCCTGGTGAGGGTGGCACCTCTTCAGATGGTCCGACAACTGGAGCACCGAGAGGAACGGACACTTGGTCCGTCTGCTGAAGGAGGCCAACACCTGAAGGAGGCGAGATTTAGTAACAGAGGTGAAGAAAGGGAGGAGTTGGTTAGAAAGACACAGGACATACAGTGAGTGAGAGGGAAAAAGGAGGCAAATGCAGCAAATCCATACGCGCATATTCACCTATAATCCAATTAATCATAACCAAAGTCCTCTCTTGAAACAAAAAGGGCAACTTCATTCATCTTTCCTCTCTTTGTCAATGTTGGTTGTTAAATTAGGCAGAAATGCCACTAAAGATTTTTCATCAAAACCAGATGCCTGATGATATTCATCACCAAACGGAGACAGGGATCCTAATACCTAACAAACGGGTTAACCATCAAACTCTTTATAAGGACTTGTATGCACCACAAATGGAAAGATTTCATATTTTGGGTAAAAAACTTAATTTAGTTTGTTTGATCCGGTGAAAGGTCAGACGGCTCCAGAGTCAACACTTCTCATGTCTCACCTCTTTGTCAGAGCTGTGCCACTGCTGATTGGACAGATCCAGGATGAGGTCCGAACGCTTTCCTAAGTAGGCGACTGACCGGCCGAGAGTCTGTAATGTGTCCGCAAACCTGCGTGAGAAAATAAAGATTCACAAGAAGGCGTTAAACATCCTAAACCATTTCTTTTGTTGTTGGACAATTAAAGCCTAGACATGAGTAGAAAATGTCAAAAAGACTGTTTGAGTTAAAGAGATCGGTACATTCTGGGTGTGTAAAGTGTTAGCTTAGCATGGAGGACAAACCCAGACTCAGAGGAAAGACACGGTTTTGTGAGGACATGGTCTGAGTAACTGTGGTCAGATGTAAAGAAGAGGTTTACAGACAGCATCAAGTTTAGTACCTGAGACTTGGTTTGGGTGCAGGTTCACAGTCAGCGGACTCCTCCATTATTGTGTATCCCCACAGCTCCTCCAGGTGAAGCTCTACAACCTGAGAGTGAGTATATACAGAAGATAAGATATCAACTGTGTGTGTACGTGTGTGAGAGTGTGAGAGAGAGAGTGTGTTACCTGACGAGGTCCTGTTTTGATAAAATACTGAGCCAGCTCCAGGGCTGCTACAGCATCCTCAATGGGATTATGACCCTTCTTCCCTTCAGTTTGAATTTGCCTCCTGGAACACAAGTGGAAAATCTAATTACAAACCCTGGTGGGTGAGACGGGGGAGAACGAGAGAGAGAGAGGAAGAGAGAGAGAGAGAGAACTTACTGCAGCACAACCTCTGCCAGGACTTTCAGTTTAAACTTTTGTCCAAAGTCTCTCCTGTACAGCAGCGAGGTGTCGATTACATGCTGGTGGATCAGCTGCAGGCAGGACACAAACACAATACAGGTCAAAACTTCATAGAACAAATGGATCTGCTTTTGAAGAGAGACTCTCCAAAAATATTCTGATACCTATGAATAATATAAATGAATAAAACAAAATATTAATATATACATATATATATATATATTTTTAGGTGAAAAGTCAAAATGTTTGGAAGCCGCTGGTTTAATCTTTAACAATGTATCCAATTCATAAGTCCAGATGAAGTGATGAGAGGTGCATGTACCTCAAAATTATACTTAAATCCACGCAAACAGCGATACGAGCCGTTACACGTCGTAAAGACGTAAACAAAGGCCGACCTCACATTCATGACACATTCAGACATACAACAAAAATACCATCTTACTCAGAATTGAACTTTATCCTGATAATTCTATTGATGCGAGAAGGAATTGAAATGTCAGTTTTAACTCACTTTCAGAGCCACGAGGTCGTTGTTTACCGAATGTCCCACCAGAACCGCGTCGCTCGGCAACAACTGCCTGAGCTTCACTTGAACATCACGCAGCGTCGTTGTGATTGGTCGCAACATCGCTGCGGTTATACCAGAGAACCTATCAGAGCGCACACAGCAACAAACATGTCTTTTAGCTTTTCAACACAGTGATTGATGGTGGTTATCTAAAAAGCACACCTGTGTGTGTGTGTTTGTGTGTACCTGGTGAGGTAGTCGAGTATTCGGTTCTGAGGTTTCACCAGATCGTCCAGCAAACAGTTCCCATCACTGTCCACCAGAGAGACGCGAGCCAACTCATTCCCTCTTTCTGTTAGACACTGAAGCACAACATGCACGCACGGACAATACATGATATATAATACATATAATATTAGTTACAGTATGAGTTTATTTCCACAGTTAAGTCGTGGTTTCGTTTTTTAAAAGCCGCTACAAGTGGAACAGACGTGCGTCAAAGTGATGTAGCTCATTCTGTCAGGGGGTAAAATTCTACCAAAATTAAAGAAGCATTCTATCAATTTGAAAAAGGACAACTGATTCGATGAATAATTCCTCCATGACAACATATTTATTGTACATTCTGGCTTGACAGAATGTGCAATAAAAGTCTTGAAACTCAAAATAGCACATAGAAAAAAAAATATATATGTATATTTATATAATAATCCAAATTCTACCTGTCTATTTGTCGCAGCGCATGCTGCAGTATTGATTGTTTGAAACTGTAGCACTGTATTCTACAACGTAAAGTGTGAATGGAGTGTATAACTGAGCGCATCCTCTCACCATTTCGCAGTCCAGTCCATACAGAGGGCTGCCGTCAGTCACGCAGTCAACACCGTCTGTGCACACAAACTCCTCAAAGCCCGGCATTCCTGGAGACAGAGATGAGGAAAAGAAGCTAGAGACGGTGGAGAAGGTGGAGGTGTGGACGGAGACAGCAGCCAATGGAGAGTGAGGCCACGTCCATATTAACCCAGCCAAAGTCGAGCTCTTAAAACAGAGAGAGACTCACCTTTGACAGGGTAGTGTTTCTTGATCATCTCCTCCTGGGGGAGAACATACGCTGTCAGTCCTCTCCTCTGTGTCCCGAACTTGGTGATTACTGGGTGAATCCTCAGTGCTGCAGCAGTGTGTAATAACACACACACACACACACACACACACACACACACACACACACACACACACACACACACACACAAAATAAAGAACAAGAAACAACCTAACTACAGCTGAGAGGTATACTATTTCTGACTAAATGCCACTTTAAAATAATGCGATGATATTCCGGGGATGCATATTAAGGCCTTCAGAGGAAGAATATTAGTCAAATGAATTGTGGATGTGAGGCATTTATAATAAGTTTGGAAAATTCTATTAGCAGCCTTTAATAATGAGGATAGCTTCATCGTCATTTTGTGACAAAGTCTCAGATAAAACCGACTCTTACGTCACACTGGTGATGTATGTATTGCCCGGATCTACACACAGTCAGGACGTACCCACAAAAGATTCCCACCTTTGTGCAATTCACTGCTTTCACTGGGCTTTTGGGATGGAGCGTCCGATTCCGGGACTTCACCGCTGAAGATTCCTGACGCCAGGTTGGTAGGTGACGGCGTAAAGGTGACCCTCTAAATAACAACGACAAGGTCCAGCGTTGACCCGAAGCACTGACACTCATAGCTGACATCATTGTGTATTTACCCTGCTGGTTACTCACAGTGGTGTAGCTGGTCCTGAGGTGCCGCAGGGTGAGGTAGTGTTTGTAAAAGTGACTCTGGGTCAGCCCCTCCACGATCACCACGTTCACAGCTTTCACCCTCTTCTGATGGTGGAGATGACACCAGCTAGAAGACACACAGGCGGATGAAGAGACAGAGGAAAGAGACAAAGTGGTGTGGCGTTTAAAAGGATCATTTAGATAATCGTTAGAGCACGAAGAGACGCAGTAAAAGTGCTTTACAGAGAGTTAATGTTACTACCATAAGTCATCACCTGGGCTGTTTAACGCCACCTGTTTTCCCCAGAGCGGCATAGTGCAGCAGCTCCGTCAGCTCACTCGGTGTAATTGGTTGTTGAAGGCGGTCGAGCGGCACAGAAATACTCAGCGAGCGTCCAGACGTCTGCGTCTCCTGACCTTCCTGCTGCACACTTCTTAATCTCTTGGCCTCCCTGTGCGCTGTGGGGCCGACGCTCCGTCTTTTCCCTCTGCTGCATGCTCCTGCTGCTGATGAAAGCTCACCAGATCTTTCTACCGGGAGGTGAAAACAAAAAGACATTTGAAATGGCATCGTCTCCTGGCTGTCGAAGTTTATGGACGTCTAGGAGTTACACATGTGCATCTTTAAATTCATAATGTTGTATTTTGGAAAGTAGAACACAGGAGCGCTATGTTCAGCCAAGTAGGGCTGTGTGTCAAAGTTCAATACTTGCAAAATGTGTCTGCATTTTGAATATCAATAACTGACAGCTAAGCCTCAGGTGCTGTTTACTTATTCTTTGATCAGCTGTATTTTGGAATGTGGTTGCTTTGTTCTAAGACAAAAATATAAACCCAGAGAAAAAGTTAAGGAGTTTTGAGATTGAAGATTGTCATGCCTTCATTAACGACTAAATATCTATACCACCCTAGCCCCATAATATAGGAAATAACTCAAAACGATTACAGTTTTACTTAAAGTAACTGCAGGTAAACTCCATGACGAAAGAGAGAAATGATTTGAAGACAAACATGTTTACAGTACAAACCTGAATGTGAAGCAATGAAATAAGTAATGGATTAGTATTGGTATCATTCGCCTTTGTGGTACTATTATGAGGGGGGGTGCATTTAAAGCATATCCGGTGACTGTATGATGGTGTGTTGTCTTTATTTCTGCTGCAACTTTCAGGTGAATTAAGTTTAAGCTTTTTTTTCTGTAGCTTCAAGTGAGTTGATTCCAGTGGAATCTGAGCTTTTACTGCTGTACAAAGCTAGCGAAACTAAAGTGAGAATAAAGAGTAACAGTTAACTACTAGAAACACTACACACCTCGCTTAGCTAGCTGACTTACTTACTTGTTTAAACAATAAATTACACTTATACATTTATAATGTAGGAGTATTTATAAGTTAAGTATACGTGTGAAAATAGTTACCAGAATAAAAATGTATACATACCAGATGTTATGGATCCTGAGGGTTCTAAATTCATGTTTTTCTACTACCGGTAGAGGCTAAAAACACATGAGGCGCTGCTGCACGTTACAATTTGTGATAAGTTAAAAACAAATGTGCCAGCACTACTTCCGGTTCGAAACTTTTAAAAATAAACGAATGGAGATAGAACTGTAGTCATGTGTTTTAGTCAGTCAATGTAGCTAAATTTAAGAATTTAAGAGGTTTGAAGAAAAACGTAAAACATTACAAATCAGACTGTGACATATAAATATTAACAGTCGTGGTGCTTTATATGTGCTGCAGTATTTCATGCTTTTGTTTTGGTGACTATATGGTAAAACTGGAAATACGGTTCGATCAGTTCAGTTTCGATGAACTGTACGATTTTTCTGCGATCGACAATTTGTTTCTGACTAGTCTCAGTTAATCGAGCTCAGACTGATGGATGAACATTTTAAAAAAGCAGCGCGATTTTTGCTGCTTTTTCAAACATATTTTTTGTAAAGTTGTTTGCTAGCAAACGTTATGTCTACAAAGAAACTGGCCAAGTAAGTGACCGATTAGAAACATGACGTTGTAACTTAATAGCCTTAAATGTTTTACAACCACATTAGCCACGTTGTTTACGTGCAGTGCTTGAATATTGTTGAAATAGTCAGCAGTACTTGCCCCTAAACAGTTTATTCAGTAGATAGTAGTAGTTGTAATAGCAGTAGTTAGTAGTAACGTTAGTTGTAATAGTAGTAATTTAGTTAGTAGTTTAACGTTACTTCTAACGGTGGCTCTTCGATCCCTTCCTGTCTCCACAGAGAACTCGGATTATTGAGGCAGAGGAGTAAATCTTCTAATGGGTCAAAGAAATCATTATCAAGTAAGTATGATTATTTGTATTTATAATATGCATACACAGTTCATGTACTTGATCCCCTCGTCGTTACTCTATTACACTGTCTGTTTTCTTTCAGATCAGATATTTTCATACCTTATTGTGATTGATTTTGAGTCAACTTGCTGGAGAGAAAAAACCAACTACAGCCAGGAAATTAGTAAGTATCCCTTTATATGTCACATGTGGACTATTGTTACTTTTCACCCGTACTGCTGGTAACACGTGTCCCTCTTTCCTTTCTTTCCTGCCATGCCAGTTGAGTTTCCTGCTGTTCTGCTGAACACATGCACAGGGGAGGTCGAGTCCGAGTTTCACACTTATGTTCAACCCCAAGAGCACCCCATTCTGTCCAGGTTCTGCACCGAGCTGACCGGGATTACACAGGTGACTGTGTGTGTGTGTGTGTGTGTGTGTGTGTGTGTGTGTGTGTGTGTGTGTGCATAACTACACTGCTACAAACATACCAATGCACCTTCTGGTGCCGTGCGCTGTAAATAGTTTTGCATCACATCTGACATCGTCTTTGGTTCTCTGTCCTACAGATTCAAGTCGAGGCAGGGATCCCCCTTCAGATCGGCCTTTCTCGGTTCAGCCGCTGGCTGCAAAACCTGCAGCTGGAGATGGGTGTGGTCTTTCCCAACAGACCACAGAGATCTTCTGCACCTTCACCTTCTCAAAAACTGTGTACTTTCGTCACATGGTCAGGTAAAAGTCAGCTGCTTTGGACTCAGTTAATGAGGATCTTCCCTGCTTTGGAAACAAGAGCACAATTAACATCAACTAGAATGCCATTTTTATCTTCTAACGTTACAAATCGTGTACAACAACACTGATTATCTGGCTCCGTGCTGTTGCATGATGTGAAATGAAAAGGCTGCTTTGCCTCAACAGTTTATTTTCAACTCATTGGAATTTTGGAAATGAAGTGGATAAATTGAGCTTAAAACACATTATTAACTTTAATGTGCCTCTGTCTGCGTTGCGTGTCAGACTGGGATCTCGGAGTTTGTTTGCAGTACGAGTGTAAACGCAAGCAGCTCCATAAGCCTGATGTGCTCAACAGCTGGATCGACCTGAGAAGCACCTACAAGGTAAGTGGAAGCTCACTCTGTTGTCCTTCATGTTTTATCACTCATGCTTATGGCTTTACCTAACAATTGTGTAGTGTACCAGTTATTATTTAGTCTACAACATCAATGACATTTTATAGTTGTTGCATATTCCCATTTGAAGTTACAAGGTAAAGTATTCAGTTTGCTTATTTTGTCCGACCACCTGTACAAAAGGTATTCGGTTATGAATGACATGTAACCAAGAAAAGCAGCAAATCTTCACACTTGTGCGGTGATTAACCAATTTTTTGGTATTTTTCAGCTGTTTTACGACAGGAAACCCAAAGGCCTGAACGGGGCACTACAAGATCTGGGAATACAGTTTTCAGGGAGAGAACATTCTGGTACAAACAAAGTTTAAAGTTATTTCGTCAAAATAAACCCACACAGAAAATAGACTCAATCTGAGCCAGCGTGTCTTGTTTTTCCTCCTTCCTCAGGTTTGGATGACTCCCGAAATACAGCTCAGTTGGCAGCGAGGATGATGAGGGATGGGTGTGTGATGAAGATCACCAGGAGCCTGGAGAAGGTGAGTGGCCATCATCCAGCGATGCATCCCAACTCCTAAATCCTCCCCGGCCTCCCTTCTCTCTTCCCAAGCAAAACCCGTTGTGGAGGATGACTATATACGGAAGTCTTTGTGGATGAAGCTCGTTTGATTCAGAAATGTAAAATGTTTTAATTTGTTTTGAAGCTTTCTTATATAAATAAACAAATATATAACTGGACTGTTGCAAATCCTAAACACTGATATTCATGACATTTGCTAGCTTTTAGACATTTGTGCGTTAAATGTGAAGTAAATATTTCCGGACACTGAAGAAATAAATAAGAGCAAGACAAGTGAACGTGCAGCTTAAAGGGAGAATTTATTTGACTGCTGTTTCAACGAAACCCAGGAATGGATATTTTATGAGTCACTGATTATGTCTCTCATCTTCTTATAGATGCCATTAAAGGTCAAACCCATGTTTGGAAACACAACTGCAGACAACAAAGAGGAAAACGCACCGTCTACAAACAAACCCTCATCGTCACCGATTCCTCCAGAATCATGTCGGATAAAATCATGTCCAGAGAACATTTTAAAGGATTTCGACCCAAAGAGGAACTCAAGTTCTGTACAAATCTGCCAAAGTCTGATCTCACCAAAGACGCTGCTGAATGGTACAACTACGTCACTCTGGGGCTGCAGCAGGAGGTCCGTCAAAGCGGTGGCTGTCGCTAATATCTCCTCTTCAGTTTTGGTAAACTGTCCTTCACCACGCGATAACAACAGCAGCAGCAGCAGCCTTGTTCTGTGTTCGACTACTCTAGGCTGCCTTTCAAATCTGCCTCAGACACACCAGCCGGCCAACACGGGAGCACCGGTAGAAGAGGAAGGTGCGGAACCTTTCGTGGAAACCGAGGACAGGTGTGGTTCATATGACCATGTGGTGTTGGAGGGTGATGGTGATGATGATGTCATTGGAGAATTTGACGTTGATTATGTGGCGGATTTTGACAGCAGATGCCATGTGTGGGAAAGGCCCGATGGAGCACATTCATCTTGGGATCAGGTTACATTCAGAGACAAAACAAGAGAGACGGTGAGCGATGAAGGCAACTTTAAAACTAAGATGACCAGTTGGTCCTCAACGTCTAATCACTTACATATAATCAGGCAGCATTCATTGATCCCAGAGCCCAGTACTTATTTTGCTGTGCCTGAAGCTGTTACTCGGGACTCCAAATCAAATCTGCACAAAACACGACTTAGAACCTCTCTACAAGTACAAGAAAAGCCAGACGGGCCTCATGAAATCCTAAAAACAAACCCACCCTCTCTACTCAGACACAACCTCCTTATCCCAGAAAAGACCTCCACCCCTTACACCTCATTTGCCCGGCCCCAAGCAGTCGTCACAAAGCACCGAGAGACTCCAAAACCTTCCTTCACCATCTTCACCGACCCAGCAAAACCCTCATGTCCCTCCTCACGTGGCTCTTTCTGCGCCTCCAAGAATGTCCTCTCCTCTCTGTCGACCAGCGTGCTCGCCACACTCGCCAATCGTTCCTCCATTCCTGTGACAGCGAAGGGAGGGCAGAGGATCACAGCCCCACTGTGTGCTTGCGGGCGTCGTGCAAAGCGCCAGGTCGTATCCAACGGGGGCCCGAACCAGGGGCGAGGCTTTTTCTGCTGCCCGGTCCGGCGGTCCGGCAGCGGCGGAGGGATCCAGAAGGGCTGCGAGTTCTTCAAGTGGGAGTCGGCTCTGATGAAGAGCAGTTCAGTGGGTGCTCCTGCTGTCGGGTCTTCTGTCTCACTCTGTCAGATCAACTCCACTCTGAGTCGTCCACCCCACAGGTCCACACTGAGAAAGAGCTGCTAACACAGTGGAGCTGAGAGTGTATGTTCTACCTCAGTCACAGAGACTTTGTGATATCATATTGTCAAGTTGAACCAATTGTTTGTCAAAAAACATTATTTTGTTTAACTTGTTCACATATGTTTTGTAAAAGAAAAGTAAAAAAATAAAAAAAAGTTGTCATTTATTGATTCCATTTTGGCTTTCATGAAAAATCAATTTTATTACTTTTCTTTATTTCATATCATGTTGGATTTAGGATGTAAAAATGAAATGATCATAAATGAATAATCACAATGAACTATTAGTTCATATAATGTTTGTGATGCAGTTTTTGTTGAAATAATCAAATCAACCAATAATGAACATTGTTAATAAACTTCATTTTCTACGTGTTGTTCAGTAAGAATGCTATTTTTGGAAATATGCTTTCAAATGAAATGTTGAATAAAATGAAGTGACTGTTTTAATCATGACTTTGTTTTTTTGTGTTTTAATCTTTAAATTGTTCTCTGTGTTTTGAAGTATTCACATCTGTTACTGAAGTTACATTAGACTACAGAGCAGCATTAGACCTCGTCCTCATATTCAACCATAAATATATGACATGGAACTTCTGTTGTGCTGATTTCCACATTACTATACCCCCACCTTTTGCATTACATTAATTTCCATTATAAACCAAAGTGTCTCTAGGTATGTATATGTTTATAAGCAATTGTATTTAAGTAACTGTTTGTAAATATTTTATTATAATTTAATTATACTCTAATTTAAATATTTGTATATATGTTCTCTTTGTGTGTAGCGTGAATGGGCGACAACTTTTATTTCAGAGTGCAACCCTGTCTTGTAAAACTAGCAGTACTGGGATTTAAGAGTATTATATTGTAAGTAAAAGCATTCAAAACTATCAAAATATACTTTAAATACCAAGAATAAAAGTACTCATGCAGAATGGCCAATTTCAGAATCATATGTATTTTATTGCTGGATTAGATTTAGTGATGCATTCATGTGTAAGCATCACTTTAATGTGACACCTGGTAAAGGTGGAGATGATGATTAAAATAATCATTTGATTTACTGCTGGAAAGTTTACATTTTAGTAGCATATCATAATGTATTAATTGATCTGTGATTTATTAATTAAGAGTCTGTAGTGAAATCAAAATGGCAGTTTTATTTCTTCTGAAATGTAGTAGAGTAGAAGTGTAAAGTAGCATAAAAAGGGAAATACTCGAGTACCTCACTGAGTAAATGTATTTAGTTTCCTCCACCACCAGCTTGAAGCAGGAAGTCAATAATCCAAAGGTGAACGATGCTTCGCGAAAACGTCGAAGACTTTTGTCCCTCTTCATGCGCCGTACAGTACAACTAAAACGTGCTATGTTGTGACTGAATGAGGCATCGGTTCTCTGAAACAGCTGCAGTACTGTGAGCACATATTTAGGCGGGACAGGCTGTATCGTTTTGAAAAGACCACATCGCGTTTACGCTGTTGTCTCTGCGCCTTTAGAGTCTCTGAAATCTTAGCCTCAGCTGTTAAGCTAACGGCTAATAAAGCCGAGGAGGGGACAGCAACGTCAACCATAACAACAGCGTAGCCCGCTGCTATTGAGCCGAGATACACACAAGGGTTTATATCAGTGTGAAGGATTATCTGCGAACATGTCGGCCGCGTCCAACGACTCGAGGAAACGGAGCAAGAAGCGGTATGCGGCCGGCCACCACCACAGCAAGCGGTGGAAGGGCTCGCGGGAGCTGGAGGTGGGCATGGAGGGGATCCTCATCACGTGCAACATGAACGAGAGGAAGTGCACCGCGGAGGCCTTCAATCTGCTCAATGAGTACGCCGACGAGCTCTTTGGGCCCGAGAAGGTGAGTCCAGAAGCACTTTGATATCCCGTTCCCCGTTTTTCCTGTTCCTGCAAGTTGCAGCAAGTGAACTGCGCCCTACAGTAAACAGCATATTGTATCATAATTCATTTTAACGCCAGAGCAAAAGTTTGTTATTGTGCACATTCCCATGTCAACAGACTTTAATTAAACTGGTCAAGCTGGTCTCTTTTTCAATACACACTACGCATGTGTCTGTGTTGAACCAGGAAATACGAAATCTAAAAAACTAGTCACAACAATTTGTGTAATTGATTACTTTCAACCAAAGCTTATTAAATTTCAAGAATTTATTGTTTTACATCATTTTGAATTGAATATTTTTGGCTTTTGGACAGGTGATGATTGGAATAAAAAAATTATTCAGTACTTTTTTGACATTTTATAGACGAAGGTAATTAAAGTTGGACGTGTATTATGGTGTTATTGACCCGCCTTTCTCATGATAGCAGCTGCAAGATAACAATGGGAGCAGCAGTGACGAGGAGGAGGCTGAGGAAGATGTTGAGGTAGCGCTGAAGAAGGAAGTGGACCAGCTGAAAGCATCTGGAGCTAAACAGCAGAGGCGCTTTCAGGCTTTGGACAGTGGAGCAAACAATGTCATCTTCATCAAAACTCGAAATCTGGGTAAGTCCTTTTTTAATGAACGGATCATTGACGTGTATTTTATTTTCCTGTTGTATTGTGGCCACAATTTATTTATTTTTCTTCCTCGCATAGAATCGGACAAGCTGGTTCATCACATCCTGTCTGATCTGCACACCACCAAGAAGAAAAAGTCCCGCGTGATTCTTCGGATGCTACCAGTGAGAAGCTAAAATTCACTACTGTCAGCGTAACGTGTGATTTAACAGCTGCAGTATAGAAAGACGATTAGAGTTTATTGAAATAAGGCTGCAGCAATTTGTTTAATCCATTTCACGATAATCAAAAATAGTGTTACAGTAATTTAAGTTTCATGCTGCCGCCATTGTCTTTATGCTTTGTTTTTCTTCTCATCCAGGTAACGGGAACATGCAAGGCCTTCCAGGAAGACATGGTGAAGTACCTGACTACTTTCCTGGAGCCTTGGTTCAAAACCCCAAACTGTGGTACCTACCAGATCGCCTTCAAGGCTCGCAACAGCAGCCACAACAAGAGAGACGAAATCATCAAATCAATCGCAGGTAGAGTTGGACTCGAGATGAATTTGTTGGTTGATAATTTTGTCTGATGAAAAGTGATTTTACCTTTTTCTGATCATCCGTTATGATTTTTTTTTTTTTTTACCATTGCAGGTCTCGTGGGGAAGCTGAACCCAAAGAACAAAGTTGACTTGACCAACCCAGAACTGACAATCATTGTGGAGGTCATCAAGGCGGTGTGTTGCATCAGTGTGGTAAAAGACTATGCTCTGTATAGAAAGTACAATGTCCAGGAAGTAGTCAAAGAGGACACACCAAAGCCCGATGTGACCCCAGCACCAACGGATACGAGCACAGCTGGGGAGAAGGATGCACACGATGCAGAGGAGACGACCAAAGAAGAGACGAAGAAAGGCGAAGAAGACAATGACAACAGTGTGCCAGAGGAAGACAAGGAAGCTGGGGAGGAGGACGAAGGTCACGGGGAGTAATGGCTCACATTTAGAAAAGCCTGTCAGTCAGATTTTTAATTTCTATGTGAAGCAAAAAAAAAAAGCCGTTCCTTTTTTTCACAACTGACTCGACGAAGGTTCGCAAAACTCGGAAGAGAATCGGAATTTAATTTAATATCTTTTCCTTGTATTCATAAAGATATCTATGACTTTATTGAGATGTCCATTTTTAAATAAGTGATTTTTGAATTAACTGGTATTACCATTTTGCAGCATAACTGCCATCAGCTCAGTTTTTTAATGCTGAATTTTATTTTTAATTTCAGTGTCATTTAAAAAAAAAAAAAGTGTTTTGTTCTGGTTAACTTGTGTGTCGCATTTAGTAACTGTTTTTTAAACTGTTATTTCCTGAAGCAGTCCCTGAATTAAAGTTATCTGTGTGTTTGAATGTTTTTTCCACAAATCCTTATTTTATAGTACATCATATTTCAGTGATTAACATAACAGATGGGGCTGCATTCCTGCATGTCACATCAGGTACTCAAATGTCCTGTTTGACTTTGTCTTATTAACCGTCTCTGGTTCTTCTCTGCACCACTAGATGGAGTTAATCCCTCATTTTGTAGCGGCAGTCGTTAGTGTGACAGGTCTTCTGATGAATCATTTATCAAAATCTATGAAACAATCTACACATTTTCTTTGCTGCATTGCAGTCTTTTTTTTCTATGTCTGCTTTAAATCATTTTCTAAATGTCTTTCAGCTGGTTGTACAATGAACAATATAGGCTTTTATATCAATGTAAAATACTAGATGTCTCAGGACAGATGTGGTAATTTGACTGGCGCACCATAAGTATGTGGTATATACGCAGGCAGAAGAGTATTGTCCATTGTAAATTTCTGTTTCTCATTTATTTAGCAAAAAAAAAACAAGCAAGCAACAATCAGAATCAGCTTTATTGGCCATGTATGTGTACGCATACATGGAATTTGACTCCGGTTTTCAAGCGAATTAACCAAAAAAGTGATGCCTACGGCTGTCTCTCTTGCTCTGGTAAATAATCATAGCCCACCCTGGTGCATGCTGGTCCTATACCTGCCTACTTATGGATTCATAACCGCAGGTGCCCACAGTGTTACCTAATTCAATAACAAACCAAAAAAAAACTAAATATAGTAAACATCAAAAATAATTGAACTAAACACATAATTAACAAAAGGATAAGCTATATAAATCGATCAAAAATCCAATAAAAATTAGGAAACAACTAGAATAAATAAACAATACTACCTATGAACACAATAACTAAATACTAACAACAAATAAATAGCTCCTACAGATGTAGTGGATTTACATTGATGGTGATTGCAGGTGTTTGGTCATAAACTAAAGTAATGAATTAGTTAAATGATTGTGAAACTAGATGAAAAGTCAGGGGATCATCAACGTCAGTAGGATTCATCATCTGGGGACCATGAACGTCTGTACAAAATGTCATGGCAATCCAGTAGTTATTGAGATATTTCTGGATCAAACTGGTCAGGTATGTTGAGCTGCTCTCTTTCTTTTCTTTTTGCTTCCTGTGTTTGCACAGGTCTTACATCTGTGCCTCTTTCATGCGTTTTACATCAACTCAGTTTACAGATCTCAGCAAGTACAAGTATGTCCAAAGGCTTTCTGCAAAGGTCATGAACCGCTGATGGTTTGTCTTCTTGAAGGTACTACCGGGAGAACTTGGCTTTGTTTCTGGAAGATTGAGGAGCTCCTAAAAATGGTCGCTGAAACAAAAGTGGTGCATTGTAACCGCAGCACTCTGCATTACTCTGCCTCCGTCACGTACAGTTGACACACACACACACACACACACACACACACACACACGCATGAACAGAGTTGTGAATTTTCTCTGCGCTCATTACACTTGTGCTGAACTGTTGCTGTGACCCGTCAGTCGTTATCTCCACCACATTCTGCTAAAACTCACAAATTGCGTTCGCGCTGTGCCCTGGTGCCCTAATCAGCGTGACCTGCTGACAAGCTTATAGCTCCACCACAAGCGGGGAAGGAGTGGATGTTTTCAGCCTGCCAGTGTGTTATTAGTACAATGCCAATTAGACGGTGTGACTAGCCTACATAATGGTTAACGTGCAGCGATGCCTCGTAATGATATCACAGTGGCGGCATCGTAATATCTCTGCTGCCAGGTGAAATCTTATAGAGAATATTATAAAAGCATAATTTCCTAGAAATGTCAAGACAATTTTTATGACTGCTGAATGTTTATTTTTTTTAAAGCACAACAAATGCAGGTTATTGAAATGTTTTATTCAATTTATTTTAAAAAGACAGTTTTAAATATTCAGCAGCCTCATCAAAATCAAGAGAATAGTTACAGCACTAGCCGCTTGGTGTTGTCTACAGGAGAAAATAGCCTCTGATGTTTTAATTGCCCCCGAGGCCATTTCTAATTAAACCTCAGTTGGCACTGAAGCCTACTGCTTTCCAGCCAAATAGGCATCCAGGCACGTACACGCTGCTCTGCCACCCAGGATTGTACGCTCATTCAGGTTGAAATGTCACAGGCCTGTGAAACAATCGCATCCAGAGGCGCATGTGCACAGTCCCCAGGGTCAGGATTAGCATCCATTGGTGTGGCACCATATCTGACCTTTATGAGTGGCTAAGTAGTACTCTCCAGGGTCTCATTTGTCTCACTTTACCCGAACAATGGCCTCAGCCCCCTCACAACTGTAGCCTCCTCTCTCACGGTGCAGAGTGAACATGCCGAGGCTCACACTGTTGAGCTTCAGGGATTTTCAAGGACTCCATGTCTACTTTCACTGACTCTCATATGTGGTTAAAATAACCGTTAAAGCCCCTGAAAATATGTTTTAAGCATCATATTATAACCTTCCATATTTAATACTTAATAAGCTAATAATAATAAAGGATAAAGTTTGAATTAAAACACATTTGTTTTTTGTTTAGAGTTTATTACTGCTTCATTAGAACTGTGTCAGTGTGATTTTATTAAATCTTATTGACAGTGACCTGACAAGCAAACAACCCCACAACTGTCATCACGTTTTTATTCAAATGTTTCTGCATTGTGATTGGTGCATGCAGGTACATGACATCACCATCTCTAACAGAGACCCTCCCACTGCACCAGTGGACAGATAAAAACACAAATACAGAAGTCGATCATGTGAAATAACTAAAACTGTTCCAATCTAGGCACAATATAGTCTATGAAGGACGCCATCGATCACAGTAACAAGCTGATGGAGATTGTTTTTCCTGTAATTGAATATTGGTTAGGCAGCTTGTCTCTTTTCACACCAGTAAATTGCTTTTAAAACTGATTTAAAAAATGGTTATTTTACTGTCTGAACAAATTAAAATAGTAACAATAATGGCACACATTGTTATGAAGGAACGCATTAAAGCAAGACTGCTACTTAGAATGAATGCAACCAAATATTGGAGAGCAGAACTACGTTTTTCTTCTGTCCTGTCTCATTATGCATGTTGCAGATTTACTGTGCCTTGCGACATCTCGAGGGGTCCTAACCCCTACATTGGAAACCTATTTAATATGGTGTATTTATATTTCCACTTTTAATTCGTTTCAACCGCATATTACCTTACACATCAGCATTTCCTCATTTGCCATATGCGAGATTATCAGACCTCTTAAAGCAGAGCTATCTGCGTCTCCATGTCTGCATATCTGTCACAAGCACTGCAAATTTATGCAATATGGTGAAGTCTCAAAAACCATGAGCACGTACAACAAACACAGCTGCATTCGCTTGTGGCCACTCGCAAAGTTGTCACGAGTAGACCAACACTGACTGAATGTGCTGTTTGTTTGATAACAAATTACGGCCTAAAAAATGACCGCCGATTATGGGCTTTGTCATACTGTTTTTAATTTTTTCAGAGCTGTTGTATAGGGAGGCTTTTCTGTTATTTTGTCCAGCCCTAGGTGTCAGTTTGTAGCTTTCCATATGCTTTCTCTTTTGTCACACACACACATGCATAGTCAATAGATGCAGACACCAATGATTTATTTATTTATATCTATTGTTGCAATTGGAATATGATTTAGAGGACATCTATTTCTCCGAGAGATGCTGTGTGTGTGTGTGTGTGTGTGTGTGTGTGTGTGGCAGCCAGCTATGTGAATGGGGTTCAATAATGAGAAATGCTTATCAAGCCTCTACAGCCTGTCAGCTTGCTGCTATTAGCTGTTACCCCAACAATCCTACAGGTAGGCCAAGAGTGCTCGTATTGCTTCCAAACATTCCCATTTGTCCCCGCAGAAAGGGAGCAATCAGCAGACGGATTTAGTTGATGAGGATTATGGGAAGTCATTTGTGGAGGAAATAAGTGGGCATTTTTAAGTGGTCTATTAATGTTGTGAAATTAGTTTTCTTAATACCTGGGCTGAAGATGCTGTTTGAATGCAAATCACTGTTTATATGATTGGAACGTGGAGGAGGGCTTGGTTTTTAGGAGGGAACAGTATGTCGGGCTGAAGAGAAGGAGGCACAGAGAGGAGAGAGCATAAGTGAACAACAAATTCAGGAGCAGTTATTCTCTTCCACACACACACACACACACACACACACACACACACACACACACACACACACACACACACACACACATCTACTCACTCATTCTCATCAGCGGTATAATCCTCGCTGAGGGTGCTTTCCATATCACTGGGTGGCTTTTGCTGCAGAGAGACGCATTTTAGCATAATGCTAACAAGAACCTTGACAATTAGTTAGACAGCAGAGGGGACATGGGGGCAGAGAGGCGGCAGGGTGAGCAGAGTAAAGACGTGAATGAAAAGCTGGGAAAATAGAAGAACAGGAGACTGAGGAGAGGAGGTGGAACTGGGACATCAGCTCTGTGACTCTAAAACAAGCTTTACTTTTCTTTTATTTAACTGTCCGATGATCAGTGCTAAGAGAAAGTGGATCAAAGCACTATTTCACTAATGAGGCTTTTATGAATTTGCCCTTATTTGTATTGAACACACAGAAAGAACTCAGCCTATGAATTGCACCAAGACTCCTGAGATGTTATTGAAGGCATTATAATTTGGCATTTCTACAGGCAACATACATTTACATACATTCACATGTTATTAGCTTCACCGATACTGAGTTTAATCTTACAATCTACTACAGGTAAACACTGTGGGCTGCGATGCTAGTAAATCCTCAGGTATTTCCTCAGCTTTTCATGAGTAATGCATCAGAAACTGGAATGTAAAAACTACTGTATGTTATTAAAAACCTCTCAAGCATGTGCAGGAAATGTTAAAGTTTAATTACACAGTAAAACATTGTTATTACAGTACACATTATTGGGGCGAGCGGGTCGTCCTCTATTAAGGTTAAAGGACACTTTGAGAGACACTTCTGCAT